TCTTACCACGCAGCTCCATTTCTACAAGCTCTAACAACTCTGGATCATCAACAGCATCAACTTTATTTAGAAAGCACACAAGAGATGGCACACCAACCTGCATAATACATTTAAAGATAACATGTACATTAATCAAGAAGAATGTAGACCTAAAGTATGCTTAGATTATTTACAAACCACTTTAGTAGAATACCTACTTGGCGAGCAAGAAGAATGTGCTCCTTGGTTTGAGGCATCGGACCATCAGGTGCAGATACAACAAGTATACCACCATCCATCTGAGCAGCTCCTGTAATCATATTCTGCAAAACAGACGATTATTAAACATAGGGCAACTAAGAACTATTTTTGTGATTTACTCTAAAGAAAACCATTAGATAAACCACCAGGCAGGTGCATTAAGGCAAGCTGGACAGCTAAAGCCAATAATGTTCATTCATGCAGTAATCTGACAGATGCAGATAAAGTCTAAACCATTGCAATATTTTGCATGGCCAGTTTTTTTTTTGTACTCCCTCCATATTTTAAGGCACAATTTATAAGAAAATAAGGAAATGGTGGTCATTTTTATAAGGCATTATACACTTTCTATTAAGCATTTATTTTTATCTTCTTTTTTTTAACATTTTTTGCCCCTATTAAAATATTGTGAGAGCATGTGTTTCTTTGTTGTTGAATAATGAGAAGAGAATTTGAGAAATAAATGTAGTCTCTCACCTCTTAAACTCTTCAATTGTTATTTACTCTCCCCGTTTTTTATTCATAGTCATTTTGACATTATTTTTTTTGTTCTTTTTTCATTGTCACTTTTCTAAAACCAATGACTTATTAATTTTCTTTTTCATTTTTACCCTTGATAATTAATGTGTATTTACTGAACAATGTATTTATTCATTTTCCAATGCACCTACTTCTTCTCCAACCACCTAAAAGGTATAACAGGAAAATAAGTAATAAATACTTTAAAAACTAAAATATCAATCATTTTCTTAATTCTTGTGCATAACTTTAAACGTCAAACAAAAAAAAATCGGAGGGAGTATCAATTTTATTGGCATTGGTGCATAAACTTTGGCATGAAGTAATATCTTCAGCTCTTCCATCACAATTTAATTACTAGTAATAAGGGCAAAATTAACACATCATAATTTTTTTTATAAAACAAATAAAATTAACTAAAATAACTACTTAATTTGGTTTGTGTTATTCTATTATAAGTGTTTTATAATAAAGACCAGAGGGAGTAAAATGTTTTTGTTAGAAACTAATTTACTTCCAAATTCCTACCTTAATTTTTTCATTTCATTTTGAAAAGATGAACAAGCTACATAAGCACCCAATATATTAAATTCCACAATTAACAAGTGGTATACATTGTTAAATTGCTTAAATTTCATTCCTCCATGTAGTAATTCAGTTTTTCATTACGAAATCAACAAAATTCAAATCAACAAGTCTTTCTCTTGGAAAGATTAGACCAAATTAGAAAGCTTACTTTGACATAATCAGCGTGTCCAGGGCAGTCCACATGAGCATAATGTCGTTTCACAGTCTCATACTCAACATGTGCCTGAAAGTCAAAGCATCGAGCAAACATAAACCTCAGCAGAAAACAAGACAATATATTGCAAGACCGTTACAACTCCGAACCGTTGCAATCGTGATTCCTCTCTTCTTCTCTTCAGGAGCCTTATCGATTTCATCGAAGGCCACAGCCTTGGCTTTCCCTTCGTCCGCAAGCACCTGATCAAAGCCAAACGAGTAAACACTTGGCCTCAAAACACGTTTGAACAAACACTGAAAGACGAACAGGAGTTTAACAAAAACCTTGGTGATTGCCGCGGTAAGCGTGGTCTTGCCGTGATCCACGTGTCCAATAGTCCCGACATTAACGTGAGGTTTCCTGCAAGCAAAGCAACACCAAACAATGAGAAGAGGAACAAAAGAAATAAAAACATAATAATTAACAATTTATTTAGTGTGGTGACGGTGAAAACGAGAGTTACGTTCTGGTGAAGGTGGCCATGGATCTCCACCATGGATTGGAATTGAAAGAAGAGGAAGAGGAAGAGGAGGAGGAGGAGTCATTGGGAGGAGAGAGAGGTGAGCGAGAGAAGGAAGAGTGGATTTGAGAGGCGAAGGGCAAGAGGCGACGGGAAGTGGAAGAGGAATTTCTGAGAAGGACAGTAGCCATTGAAGCGAAGAGAAGAGTGAAAAACCCTAACTCCTATGGAGCGTGGTGCAGAGGCGAGGGTTTTAGGTGAGTGTGTGTGCAGTGTGGGCGAGAGGGAGAAGAAAAGCCAAGTGAGGGTTTTAGAATGGGCACCCGACACCGACCCGTAATATCCGTGCGGCCCAATTCTTGCAACCCTCACTCTACTTCGGACGATCGTGTAAGAACAAAACACAATCAACTACTTGCTTTTTCAGTTCTAACTAGTTTTTTCTTTTTCTTCTTTCGTTAGGACTTAGGAGTCAAGTCATAACAAAGTACAAATAAGAAATATAATTACTGTTCCGACTAAAAATTATTTCATGTAATTTTTGTCTTTCTTTTTCAAATTATATAAAAATATAAATTATGAATTTTTTTTATTTTACTTTAAATAATTTAATTCGGGTTTGATTTAAATTATTTAGTGAAAATGATTTTTTCCTATGCTATGAGTATTTTTTTATGGCAAATAATTATGTCTAAGGTAAATATATATATATATATATATATATAGGATGATAGGATTAACTATTATTTCATAGTTAAATACCTATATATTGTCAATTAAAATTTTTTTATACTGACAACTAATCATATCTTTTAATAGTATCATGTTAGTTATTTATTTAATGAAATAATAAAATAAAATAATTTAAAAGATATGATTAGTTGTCAATGTAAAAAACTTTATACTGACAATATATGAATAATTAACTCATCATTTCATTCGTAAGTTATTTTGAATTTTGTTTTTATAAAATATTTATTAATTTGTATTTGAAACATTTCTTTTCGCGATGAATGAGGTAAATCATGTATTTTTTGTCATGGAAATCCTTCATTTTTTTTTCTTCTTCTTATATTGTGAGTTTTTTTAATTTTTATTTGTTTTTTTATGGTAATCTTTTGTTTTGTATTGTATCTTAAAATATTTTAAAATTTATGTTTTTTCTATCCGATTAATAATGTGAATTTTGTAGAATTTAACTTTTTTTTTTACTAATTTAAATTTTGGTCTAAATATTTTACAATTTGGATATTTTTAATTAAAAAATATGTTGTTTTAAAAAGACATTTATGATTCTTGTGATTCTATCCATTTTACATGTATACTATTTGTCCTATACTCAAAAATCAGTATCTTTTTATGTGTTTTTCTTTCGGTCAAAAAGTTATAAATTCAATTTACATGATTAGTTAGTATGTATTCTATTATAGATATATTGTATCATGTTCATGAAGAAAGTTTACAAAAAATTACAATTTCGATAACATAAGACATGTGCGAATATGATATTATTTGATCATACATCAATATTCATAATTATTTTATGTTTTTTAAATATATATCTTCTAGCAGATATTTATATAAACTGAAAGTATTACAAATTATAAGAATATAACAAATAAATTTTAATCACAACACCGTACACGAGTTATTGTATTAGTATATTAATATTCAAAATTCGGGCTGCAATTTTTTTTTCAATGTAATGTATTTATGTTGTTCCAAAAGGAAAAAAATAAAAATAAAATAAACAATATATTTTTTTGTGCCTTTCTCATGTCATATAGATAAATTATCTAACCGAAAAAGTTGTTAAAAGAGCTTGTTTGATACGTGTATTAAAACACTTGTATTTCTTAACATTTTTTTAATATATGTTTTTTTGAATATTGTGTCGCAATTAGTATGAATCCAATAATAAGCAATGTTTAAAATTATTTGAAATAATTTATTTCTTTAAATAAGAGTATTATATGAATTTTTTTTCTGTTAACGATACTTTAAAGTAAAATTTTAAGTTCAGTTTTTTTTATTTATAAAAAAAGGTGTAATATTTTTTTTTACTAAAGTGATTAATTAAATTTTCAATAAAGATTAATTATTGACAGAGTTGATAAATATTCTGTATTAATAATATAATTATAAAAAATTAAACATTTTTATTAATATACATGACCTTTTTATTTTATACTAATAATTAATATTTTTTTATGATTTCAAAATTTAGATTCTATTAGACTAATCCTTTCGTCAATCTAGTTGATTAAAAATATTACTTTATTTTTAAATAAGAAAAATATATTCTCTATTGAGTCATAAAAATAATAATGTGATAGTATACAATTTTCTAAAATTTAAACATGCAAATTGTTAGAAATTTTAAAAAATATATTTTGAACCACTTGGGCCTAATAGGAAAAGACATGATTGTTATTATTATTATTATATTTTTTATTAATAAAATATATATATACATCAATATTATTCATTTTCAGAAAAATAATTACACCATAATAATTTGATTCATTTTTATTTCTAAATGATAATAGAAAAAAACTAATTCTCATCAAACGATGAGAAGTTATTTTTTAACTCATTATAACTCTTATTTTTATTTTCATTGTTTTAAAATTTAATTTTTTTTTAAATATATTAAAATCAAACCTAACATAATTTTGAATATTTTGATGTATAGCATTTTTGTGATAATATCAATATACTTTTGTGTTGTATGAGTGACACGGATAATTAATTTTCTTTCGTTTCTATTAATTTAAGATTTTAAATAGATTAATGATTAATTTTAACTTTTCATAAAATAATAGAGTCGTTCTAAAGGCAAAAGGCATTGCAGCTCAAGCGTGTGGTTTAGCGGTAGGGTTGATCCACGCTTAAGAAAGGTCAGGGGTTCGAATCCTGTCTTGTGTATGCAGCCGCGTTAAATCTTGGGGTCAGCTATCCCACCCTTTGAGGTGCCTCCAACCTAGCGAGGAGATTATGATTCAGTGGGATGGAATCAGTTGCTGTTTGAGTGCAGCTGCTCTATACCTGCTTGGGAGAAGCATTGCCAGGTATTTTGTTCTTCTCATGCTTACTGGAAATAGTGAAACTATGCTTATGGAAGTTGCAAGTCCAATTGGATTGTCGTTTTCTTTTTAGATAATTAGAGACTAGAAGCGCTTTTCAAAATTTATCGGAAATAAAGAATATTTTCATGTAGATAAGTTGTATAAAAAATATTCTTAATAAATATGCTTAAGTGAAACAATGCAAGCGTGTCTTTGGTGTTTCTTTAAATATTTAATAAATATTCTGGCACGTATCTGTCTTTTAATTGTAACATTTTTGTATTATTTAATTAATTTGTAATTTAACTGTTAAATTATGTAGTTTACATAATATTTTCCAGATATTATATATTTTAAAATGAATAAAACCATTTTTCTCATTTTGGACTATCACCATGGAGTTGGACAGTCCAAAAGTGCTCACTTCACAAACTCTTATGTCTGACCTTCTAGATATGTATTCCTATCAGTATGTGTTATCAATGCAAATTTGATGTCTATTTCTTATGGTGCAAAAGATCAAAGCTATTAGATGCACTTTCAAGTTTACTATAGTGAAGAACTATTGGAGTTTATACTTAATGAATCAAGCTGTGCTATTTTAGTTTTTTTTTTTATTTTTTGTTATGGAATACAGTTGTGGTTTCTGATCATGCTTTGGATTACTTTCCAGCACAACTGTTGGATACTGAAAGTTTGCCCTTGGTCATCGCAATTTCTGAAAGAGTTGGCTCTGAAAGCCCAATTAACTGTGAGTTAAGTGGTTTAAGGGGTGTAATAGTTGAAGAAATGGTACATAGACATTCTCTTCCGAAAAACATGAATATTCATTTTGTCAGTTTTCTGCGTAGTTTGCTTCAGTCCTTTACAATTGGTATTCAACTCATTTTACAATTTTTATTCTAGGCACAACAACGTTATTTTAAAAACAATAATGGTTCCTGGATACAAGATTCTGCCACAATGCTATCCACGAGTAAAGAAGTTCCTTGGTATCTGGTGTGAGATTGTCTCTCTTCCTCTAGTTGACATTTTAAAATTGTTAACTGTTATTGTAAGGATATTTTTGCATGTTTGACTTGATAAGGAAAAGAAAAAGAGTAAAAATAAAACACCTGAAAAGATTTCAGTATGACGAGTGAAATCCAAATTCACAGATTTAAACAGTTAAGAACTTAAGATCATAACTCTATTTTTTTTTTTTTTTTTCAAGACAACTTTTCTGTGTTAGGAAGATGCAACTGGTCGTGTGCATGTGGTTGGAGCTCAGGGTGCCAAGGATTTTATATTACCTGTTGGAAGTGAGGCATTTCAAGGGTCAGATCAATCTCTTGTACGAACCTTGGATTATTTCCATGGTATCAAGGTGGGACTGTTATTAGTCATTCATTCATCGCTCTCCCAGTCTCCCATCTCCTCCTTCTCCCCCAAAATCATTTTTATAAACAGACATAATTGAAACCATGTTTTCACTTTTCAGATGCTTGGTGTCAAGAGAATTGAAAGGGTACTTCCAATAGGCAACTCCTTGACTGTTGTTGGAGAGGTATGTTGTCATGGGGAAATATAGTCTTTACTTCCTTTCTTACTAACTGAATGGAGGATACAAAATGAAGAATAAAGCTTAAGGGTGTGGGACTATTAAACTCCTTTTCAATAATCTCAATCATTGATCGGTATTTGGAAGAATATAATTTACCATACAATGTATTTAGTTTCAAGAAGCTGCCTGTCACTTTCCCACTAGTGTTGTATATTGTAGAATTTCATCAATGAGTATTAGTTGTGTTACGGAGTAAATTGGTAATGGTACAGAGTAATAGGAGTAATTCTTAGATTAATAGTCAACTGAACTGTCATTTCATTAAAGGTGTGCTCCTATGATATAGAGCTAGTTGATGACTTGAATACTCATAGTGTAAATGTTTCATGTGTTGCAGATTTGATACATTAAAGTGGGATTCACTCCACTTAATGAGTTATCAAACTGTGAACAAAATGTTGTCTTTCACAAATTGAATGCATTACAGTATGATATTAGAATAAAATTTATGTTTAACATCAACATTGCTTGCTGTTTCTATTTAAATACAAGATCTCTTATTTTTGTGTTCAACATTAAAAGTGATTGCTGCCTATTAATTATTCATCTTTTGATCTTCGAACTTTTTTTTTAATATCTCTAAATTGTACTATCAGGCTACTAAAGATGAGACTGGGACCATTAGAATTCAGCGACCCTACAATGGGCCATTTTATGTCTCTCGACAAACAATTGATCAGATTATTACAAATCTTGGGAGATGGGCAAGGTTATTATATAGATGGATTGATGCATATTAGGTGTTTTTGAATTGATATACCTTTTCGTCTTTTTTGGAAGCTGACTGAAATGCTTTGTTAGGTGGTATAAGTGGGCGTCTATGGGTTTTACAATATTTGGTGCTTATGTAATGGCTAAGCATGTTATTCAGCACATCTTGGAAAGATGGCGCTTAAAAAGGTACACATCACCGATAAATATAATTCTTCTCATTAGTGATGAAAAACTGAATACCAGTGAGAGGTTTTTAATCAAGAAAGAAAAGAGCTATACAATGCTGTGGTTTTAAACATGAGTTTTCCCCTTGAGCTTAAATGGAGTCATTTCTATTACAATTCTGCACCAGTAAACATTCCAATGCACCTCTGGCTTATTCTTAAATCAGTTTGAACAAAGTACTTAATAGATTCATACAGGGTTCTTGCTGCAGCTGCTAAGAGGTCAAGACAAGATAATGAAGGTAAATAGCTATAGGTCTATGTTATTAATTTTCCGATGGCTGTTTTGATAGGTGTCTGAAATTGTGACTCATTCTCAGGTGATAAGGATGACACCTTACCAGATGGTGGTAAAAGAATGCCAGATTTGTGTGTAATATGCCTAGAGCAGGAATATAATACTGTTTTTGTCCCGTAAGCTACCTATTTATTCTCTTTCTCAATTGATATAAAATGTTCAGGAGTGAATGCTCTGCATGCTGTAACGTGCCATTAATGAAAGCATTGGCATTGAAACTGATAAGCAAACATGCTTCTGTATATGTGAACATGTCTTGTCAAAAAGAAAACTTTCCAATCCAACTAATTATTATGAATTCCCTATTGTGTTATAGCTGATTAACCAATGCTCACCGACATCCTTAACCATGCACGAGAGCCTGATTGAGTGTTCTCTAAACTAGTGGGGTAATTGACTATATTTATGCTATGGTAACCATATTACCAATGATTTGATCTTTGATTGAAGCTCATTACAAATTATTGTGTATACGATAATATACCATGGTGCCTTGAATATTATCACTTGCTTCCATGCAATTATAAATTATAAGTAAAAGCCAAAATTTCTTTGACTAACTGGGCTGCAGTAGCATTGTCACTATTCTTTTGGAAGGTCCTACAAGATATTATTTTGAAAATTTTCAATGAAATAGTTAAGTACTGTGGAGAAAGTCATAATTTGTTATTTCCTCGATGAAAAATTTCTGTTGCAATTCATCCTCTTTATTGCCTTACCAAATGATGTAAATATGTGTGTCGGGTAGCTATATTTTGATCCTTGGTAACTATATTTTATCCTTAATTCTATCTGGCTCTGCAATAAATATTTTCCATCAGTTAACCTTTTTTTCTTAATTTTATAATATGCTTTCTCAAGTTTTTTTGGGTAACTTGGGAGTTGATAACCTCTGCTCAATAATCTCAGCTAGGTATCGGTGGCTTTATATTATGCACATTCAACTACATTAATGCAGTCTCCAAACTCTCATCTAATCATCTTGTAGTTATAGAGCCTCCTACAATCACCCAATTATGCACTATATTTTTTTTATTAAAGAATCTTGTTTTATGCAATCACCCAAATCAAGATGTTCAAATTGCCTAATATAGAATCAACTATTTCATTTCACATTACAATTCAAATCCGCTAAGGTCTTCGTTTTAATACCAGGTGTGGGCATATGTGCTGCTGTACAACTTGTTCTTCACACTTAACTGTTTGCCCTTTTTGCCTGCGACTGATAGAGCTGGTAGTGAAAACTTATCGTCGTTGAGCACACAATGAGGCTCAACTAGATAAAGCCACATGGAGTTATGGATGTGCCTTAAGAATCCCAGAGTAACAGTTTGGTCAATGGCAATTATGTGATTCCCACATCAGTTGATTTCGTTGTCTTTGCCTATTAGCAATTCTCAAACCTACATCTCTGAAAGAAATATCAAGAATATGATTATTGTGTGTATAATGTTACTATTGATTGTCAAATACTCAAATTGTAAATATATATGGTTACGATGGTCACAGAAATTGTTATTTTTCTTATAAGATATTTTCTACTTTCTCACGACTGTCCTACTAGTGAAAGCACTTTGTTCCTCTTACCAGGAGATTTTCAATTGGCAGGATTTATCATATGCCCTTATGCCTTAGCATACATATTGAAATGGTACTAGATTACTCAATTTGTTCCTCAGAAAGATGTTTATGTTTCTCCCCGCAAAATGTAATATATTATTAACTTCTTAGTTTTTTCATCATGAATTACTTTCAAGTCATTTATTCGGGGGTGGCATGTTATGTTATAGGAGCTAACAAATTCAGGACTCATTGCTATTATGGACAGGCTCTTGTATTTGATTGTTAGGCCTAAACTTGTTCCGAACTTTAGTCTACCAAGGTTCAGTCAAAATTCTCTCTTACAACACCTCACCCTGCTCAAGATTACTTTGGGGAATCATAAAGTTGGTCTAGTCTTTTGAATTTGATTCAAAATAATTGGTTCTAGAACTGTCTAGTCTTTTGAATTTGATTCAAAATAATTGGTTCTAAAAGTTGGTGGTAATTGGTGGAAGAGTATGTTGGTTAGAGGAGGAATATTTTGGCGCGAGTAGAAAACTTGGACTAATTGTTTCATTAAAGCTCTACTATGGAAGGACTTGCACTGATTTTCCTCTCCCTGTTAATTATTTTTGGTTCCATTCCCCCCTCCCCTCTCTGTCTTTTTGTGAAAGGGACATGACATGTTGAAATCTTTTGTTCAAGATGCGTTGGCCAACCCAATTGGGATTTTGTAAAATTATATTGAGATACAGCAAATTCTAGATGAGAATCCTTGCTTGTAAACCCATGAAGCATTTAAAATATAATTTGTTCGTCACATTTATATATTTATATATATATATATATATATATTAAAATAATTTCATTTGATAAAGAAAAATTGCTTTTAAAATCGTCAAAATCCGCAAACTCGGCCGGTAAACGTTATGTTGAAAGAAAGTTATCAAGAATTTAGATTAGAAGGACGGTGCAGAGGAGAAATCTTTAAAAATCACTCGAGACAAATAAAAATGAAAAAAATTAGGGGAGTCTCCACATCCTTTTTGATATATATAGAAATTTAGAATTAGGTTTCGGGTTGTTATTTTCGCATTACGATATAAGAACAAACATAAAATCTGGCAATGTTACAACTCAGATTCTTCTTGTTTTTTGGGTATGGCTCAGCGATTGTAATTTAAAGTTCAATAATTTGGAGTTGTTTAATTTCCACGAGAAAGACACTAATATTGAATTCCCATACGCATCCTATGTGGGACTCTCGCATGATGTGATTCTTGCAAGCTGCAACTGAACTTTATTTATTTCGCCAATTCTGAACAAAGTCCTTTCTAGAATCCGATACCATCATGCTGCTCCTTGGAAATCTCTCATGTACTGTTTTTTCCTTAAAAAAACCAAGCCTCCAATTTTGGCTACAAGATATACAATGATACGTGTCATGACGGTGATACAATAGTAATCATTTACTTTTGAGTTTAACACCATCATATTCCGTGGAAAATTAGAAAAAGCTCTTTCCTATCCCTGTTAGGAATCTTAACTAGATAGCTTCTGCAAATACAACTACTTCCCACAAATATCACAATTCAAATCCCATTTTTATTTCACATGTTTGGATATATTTTTTTTTTAAATTTTTTTTTTATTTTTTATTTTTATTGTCTTCAAAGTACTTTTAACACATATATCTAAACAATGGGCTAATATTTCCATTTACACCCTGATAACACACTATAAAAGAAGCTTATGCCCTTCATGGTAGTTTCACTCAACCCCCAATCTTGTGAGCTTAACCAAGTTAGAGAAGCATATACATAGCCTGCACCATATATCCATGGGAAATAGAAACTCATCAAGTTCAAAGGCTCGTGGCAAGGCAACAAGGGTTGCCTCAACTGAAGCTGGCTATGACCCAGGGATGGGAATGCCCGTTTCTAAATTCAGAGAAGAATACATACGCAAACCCAAAGCAGAGAAGCGTGGTGGGGTGTACTCAGATAACACCCCACTTGACAACGATGACACTTTCACCAGTTTCATTCAACGTGCCAAACGTAAAATTAGAACCGTGTCCTACATCGATCGGGAGCAGAGCAATGTTGCAACTGCACCTGCACCTGCACCACCACCAGCAGATAACAAGGCTAATGGTAGGGATAACCAAAGCGACGAGTTCTCAAGTTTCATTGCGAGTGCTAAGAAAAAGTTGAGAAGCTCATCAAGCATGACAAAGAATGGTTCCTTCAAGAGAGGCTAAAGTGTGTATGTTGATTGATGTGCGTCCAATATTTGTTGTTGAGTGTGTGGTGCATGAAAATAAGGCCCTACTAGGCATGCAAGCAGATAAAAATCTTTTTTATATTTTTCTATTTTTTATTTGAAAGCATAAACCAAATGTTTATTTGGGGGGAATAATTTGTATTGGATGATTGCTCGTGTACGTACACTGAGGTTTTTAACATTGATTTATATTTCTGCTTATATATATAGCACCCCATTTCTTAAGTTCTTCTACTGGTATCTGTATTCAACAGAAAGGTTGTACGTGGTAATTAATCAGTATAGCTTTTAACATTTGACATACGTACTCTGCATTAACGGAGATATTCAAAGCCCCTAGAGACTAGAGTAGATAGCTACCTATACTTCACATAATCTCATTTCAATTCAAAGCATACTAATGTGGTTGTCAGGTGTGAGAATGATGTTCTGAAGCTTGCACTTCACATTTAATCAATATAAAGTGTGATTCACGTTTTATAGATCCAACGTAAAATATAAATATGGATTTTTATATATTTTCAATAATATATATAAAATATTCATCAATTTTATTGAAATCTTTGTCTGAGAACTGATTAATTACTCTGATATTTTATTTAAAAAATTTGAGTTCAATATCACTAAAATATATATACAACTTGTCGAAAAGAATCCTTATATATAAATATTTTAAAATATAAAAATTATAACATAAAAATAGATAAATAATTAATTAAAAATATCATGTTTTACTATATTAAATAAATAATATAATGTTAACAAATTTCAAAAAGAAGCATTATATTTTTTATTTAATTTGTTTTTATACTATAATTTATTATAAATTGCTATATAAATAACATTAAGAACAAGAAAAGGTGCATCTCTAAATTAGAAAAATCAAAACGGGACAAAATAAACTAAAACAAACTTGAAAAATTTTAGAAACCAAAATTATATTTTATTATTTTATAAATATAATACATAAAAAGTAACTAATAATAAAAATAACATAAATTTATATTCGTATCATAATTTTATATTTATATATGAAAATTTATATATGAGAGATAATTTTATTTTTAAAAGTAATATATAATAATATTAAAAATTATCTCATAATTATATAATTTTTTTTTAAAAAAAGTTGGCCCTCTGAGTCATGGTTCCGGAAAACCATCTATATTATCATTATACAATAATATTTTTAGAAGATAAAAAAAAATTATTTTAAAAAAATAATGTCAATACATATTTAAATGAATATAATAAATAATCCAAAAGCTAGTTAATAAATACATTCTAGTATTTAGAATTTCAAGTTTAACTACAAATTAAAATTAAAAAATATAAAAATATAAATTAAATTTAAAGAATAAATATTATGAATATTTTAAAATATTACTTTTTTTTACTATATTATTTACTCATATCAGTAAAGTTTATTTTATGTAATAAAAAATAAAATATAATATTTATAATTTTCTAAAATAAATAATTAAAAAAATTAAGATATCACAATAAGCAAATATAATTTAATATAAACTAAGATTTGTGAAAATTATTTAATGAGGAGTGAAGAAATCAATTTGAAAAATTAATTATAAAAAAAATAAAAAGATAGATTTTTTTTTATTGAGTTAGGTTTTGAGGAAGAATCTGCTTGAATAAAAGGTCAACAAAATATGGTAGCTCCCCTACTAAATTTAAACTTATTTTTTTAATAATTTTTTTATAAAAAAAAGTTACTTATTTTTTAAGAGTTTTTTTTAATATATATAACTCAACCCACTTTTTTTATTTTTACATAAATAATAAACTCAAAAAAAGTGTATTAAACACACTCAAATATAATGTACTCCTACAAGATGTTAAAGTGAGTTAACCTAATTCATACAAGTTAGCTCATCACGAGTTAGTGTCTTAAATGAGTCAACTAACTCGACCCATTTTTTAATAAGCTATTGCCCAATAAGTTATTGATAGAGTAAACCCATAAGAGTATCTCTTTTAATAAATTTATAATGTGTTAAAGACTTGGGTATACTAATGTAAACCAACTATTATCTAAGAAAATATTTTTTGTATGCCCAAATGTTAGTCTAACATTAGAAGGAAAAAAAAATCCTAAATTTAATATATTATAATTTTAAGTCTTAAATTATAGTTAAATTTTTTTCTTCTAAATAATGAGCCAAGAACAATTCTTTTTGATTAAATTTAATAAATTATTAATATATTATAGATTAGTTAACTTGATTTATAATATATTAATGTTTAAATAAAACTCCTTTTTTTCTCTAACTTTTGGTAGGTCAACTTGTTGATCCATCCTTAAATAGAATTAATCTGTCTCATCACATTTTTGACGAGTTAGTGACAAGATTAGCTAGTCTATTTTATCGTCTACACTTCTTAATCTATAATAACAGTAAGAATGTTTAGATAATCTTTTTTTTAAATGCTTGAGACAAAAAAATAGGAAGAAAAAAATGAAACTAACTTTTTCATAAGTTAAAACTAGCTTATGTATAAATTAATTTGTAATATTTTTTTAAAAGTTATATAAGAAAACTTTTACAAATTAATTTACACATAAATTAATTTTAATTTATAGTGAAACTTATTTATTTATTTTCTTATTTTTTAAAAGTATTTTTAGGTATGTTTATCTAAGACAT